ATGCAATGCTGTAGAGTAAATATATATTTTAAATGCTAAGGGATAGAACACTCCACTGGGGATTTGTTGGAATGAAAGTAACTAACTTTTCACTATTTGCACATCGTATTGTTGAACAGCACTAGTTCTCAGCACACTGGTAATTAAAGTGCTTAATAGGATTCGTTCTCAACTTAAGACGGTATCTCCGTACACGGATGAACTCTGAAACGTCTTGTGGGATGATGAGGACGATGATGATGATGACGACGACGACGACGACGACGACGACGACGAAATCAAATATTCTTATGACTGAAAGTTGTGATGTTTCCTAAAAAAGTAACCTTTTGATATTAGTCCTGATTATTGTCAAGATTCAGGTGTGCAAAGTATGGCCTGTGGGCCGCATGCTGCCCGACAGTGATTCTTTTGCTGCCAGCGAAGATGAATTAAAAACCCTGTTTGCGGCCCGCCAAACATTTTAGACTAGAAAACACCTTGTTTTTTTTTGCGGTCCGACACCGATCGTCTCTAGAAAGTTAAAACTGAAAATAAAGTGGTATAAAAGCAGCCCGTGCATTAAAGTTTTTGGAAACCTCGGAGGTAAATCAAAAACTCACTTGGCCCTCCAACCGATTTTTATGCTCACCTGTCTTAAGATGTAATGGTAGGGAGTTCCAGATAGTAGTAGCTGTAAGTGAAAGATCAGTAGCTGATAGTTTTAAAGTTGGTTTATGGAATAGATAAACTCATTGTTGAGAGGATCGAAGGAATGGGAAGGGGTATAAATTTGAACTTTAACGTATTTGAGAGTGTTAAAAATATTTCTACTCTATGTGCAACTACATATTGAGACCATTGGATTTTACAGTACAGTTTATTTTTTAAAAATTCCTAAAACCTGAAAGTACCGAATCATTTTTGGAGGTTTCAGTGCGGCGTGTATTCGAGAGTGGCGGTTATAAAAAATATTGGCGTGGTGCTACATCCCTGTTCCCATGTTCTATCTCACGTATTCCCAGTTCAAACTCAGTAGGCCTATCATAGGTCCTACGTCATAGTAAATAAACGTTTATAAAGAAATAATTGTCTTCATTGTGTTATTTCCTTTAACACTGTATACACAAGAGAGCAGCTTAGCTCAGTCGGCTAATCTGGTGGTAGCCACTGTGTGTGCGCTGAACCGTGGAGATCTCTAGGTCCCCGGTTCAATTCCCATCGCTGCTTCTCCTTGTGTTCAGCTAGAGCTGAAATACAAGTTACAATAGCGCACCGTATTTCGGATGAGACGTTTAAGCCATTGGTCCCTTGTGCATTTATGGCCCATGTGCACGTTAAAGAACGCAGTACATTCTTAGGAAAAGAGTAGAGGATTGTTTTGAAAGTTGCTAGGCTATGTGGTTCTCGTTAAAATTAGCAATTTAATCGTAAGGGTAGATTAAATTTGAGAGATTGCAAATAAAATGGGAAAAAAAGAAAATTACATAGGCCTATCTGGCTGAGAATGCCATCGATTTACCATAACCGTAGCTAGCCCCAACTATGTAGCTGCTGAGGAAGTCTTCATCCTCATATCAGAAAGTATTTTCGCCCTCCACTTTTGAATTCTTTGCACCGCCATTATTTGATTTGTTTTGGGTGTGTATATATATCTTGACTATCTTCAATCGAACTGATAAGCCAAAACAGAGTTCAGTTTAGTATCAGTCACAGTTGACCCTACCTTCCCATATGTGTCGGCACGCAGCAACACAAACCACCTTGCTATTGTACCCACTACATGAATATTAATAAAATAAGAGGATATTCATTAGGTTCCAGGAAGAGAAGAAAAATTTGGATAGTTTCAATGGGGGAAACTGTAATGTTTACTCACATAGAGTAGACCATTAAAGCTAGCTTTGCAAATATAAAATAAAAGTACAGTAACCATAGTAGGCCTGCGTTAGTGTATACAAATAAAAACTATTTATTGATAAAAGTAAGAATTTTAAGCAAATAGCCGTAGATAAAGCGATCTAAAGATTGAATTTATTTCCAAGATGACTGGCACAACACCGAATTATATCAATAAATGTGCAATTGGCGATGAGGCTCCTGATCTCTCAAAACGCATCAGTTAATTTTCATTTTTTTTCTATTAAGAAAGTATGATTTACTGTGTCAAAACACTTAAAAATATTGATAAAGCACGCGGCTATCATTTTGCGATCATTAACGGATTCTAGCCAATCATCTATTACACGATCTGTAATTTTTAGGGCTTTGTAGCCTTTACATTTGTATGGGGTGGTCAATGACACTTTTCAGTGATTTGCAACAATACTATTCATTAATGATTAATTTATAATGGAACATAGAAATGTCGCGATATTGCGTGGTGCAAGTAGCCTAGTATCGAAATTATGAACATCAAGATATAAAATGCCAGATCCTTCAATATCGCCAGATACAAGTATTGTAAAATTTAGAGTGCGAATACAATTTGGGGGTTTCCATTCTGCTGTGTCTTCTTCTTTAATTGAGTTTGAAATTTCTGTTCCTATAATAATCGCCAAGATTTTTACAATCAAGATTTAAATGAATATTTGAATTTATGTTTTTCTCTATAAGTTTATTCGTTTAATCCCACAAACTTTTGGGATCGTGTTTATAATCTGATTTGGATTTTCGAATTTTACTCATGCATAGTGAACGATAGCCTATTAATTTTTCTAATGATGTCGTCAGGTGTGATCCATTCCATTTTGTAAAACTAATATACAAAGTAATCGTTCACATTGTTCAATGGCTAATCTGATAGATACAAAAAAACACCAATTCAATAAATATCGAATGTGCTTATTCTTTTGGTCATAAGAAGTAGAAATGCTAATGTTATTATAGTCAGTCCAGCCAATAGCTGGCTCTTCAAAGATGCCGTCTGAGAACATTTAAAAATTTAAAAAATTGTCAAAATAGTATAAAAAAATCGGAGAGACCCCTGCTCCTAAACATAAGAAAGCCTATTAGGGCCACTGAAATATATATTTTCATGTCGTAATTACGACTTATTATGCGTAAAGTACAAGTTATGCCTGACAACATTCGTTGACATACCGTCCAAAGCAGCAAGCCTGATTAGTATGGTAAATGGGTGCAGAGGGTGCGGACCTCAGGAAATTTAAGTCCACTGAAGAACATTAATAGAATTAATATGTTTAATCGAATAAATACGGTATTACTAAAATCGTTCGTAATTATCGCAAAATGTATGCATTGCATTTTATTTGCCAGCTCTACTAACCGTTGATTTTTAATAACTGTGGTATGAAATTTGTTAAAAGTTTTCAGCTCCAGTGATTGCAGAATTATCCATTATGATCAATTTTATCTGTAGGCCTACAAATGTAAAGGACAAAACTGTTGTTCAGGTCCGTGCAACATCCAAATTAATAAAAATGTAAAGGTAATATATTTACTAATTTTGGGTTTCAGAAATCATGTATAAAAGGCTCTTAAAATGCAACTTTGCCGGAGCGTCTGGCGGTTTCAAAAATCAATTATAAGGCCCTCAAAATGCTAATTTGTCGGAGCTTCCGGTGGCTTCGTCCTTTTTCATAATGCATTTTATGTTATATGATAGGCCTATACCTGTCTCTTATACACATCTAGATGTGTAAGAAGCCCTAGGCGCCCCCAGCCTAAGGTCCGCTTTGCTTACAAAAAGCACCTCCCCATCGAAAATCCTGCCTATACATAATACATTTTCAAGGTAATTATGTGTTGTAGTTCACATTTACAATGAAAGGGGCGTTTATTTGAGTAGGCCCTATAGTTAGAGGCCTATACATATATTTTACACCAAAAAAACCCGTCTCGAATAAACGGCCCATCAGAACCCCTTCTAAACAAAAATCAGGGCGTTTATTCGAATGATTACGGATAGGTTTTACAAGTAGACTTTTTGAAATTTGACTGTCAAGCGGCAAAGGCCTGGAGGGGATTTGGGGAAAAGTCCCTGGAAGCTCCGACAAAGTATCGTAGAATTTTAATGACCTTATAATGAATTTCTGAAACCCATCATTCGTGAATATTCTATTTAAATTTGAGAGTTTTTAGGGACCTGAAGAAGTACAATTTTATGTCCTTTACGTCTAAGCCTACTAGAGATAACATTGTTCAAATGGATCAATCTGCAATCACCGGAGTTGATCAATTTCTAACAAAGATAAAATAAGTCGTAATTACGACGTAACGTATGTCGATATTACGACATACGTATGTCATAATTTTGACATAATAAGTCGTAATTCCGACATAAAAATATATATATTCAGTGGTCCTATAGGCTTTCGTATAAACCAACCCACCGGTTGTAAACATCTTAGTTGAGACGTGGTCAGTCAATTTGACTGCGTCCATGGCCCCGACTGTACTCTTGAACCAGGGTCGTTCATTATCGGTTACGCCACTTATAATTATTTGCATATTCTAATTTACATAGTACTTGAAATTTACTAAACTACCAAAACGTGTCTGGTGACAGGCGAAAGCAACGAATACATTCTTTTCAATTTTATGTAATATAATCCTAAACAATTCAAATATTGAATTTATTGTATTAGCTCAATAAAAACAGTTCTCTATATTCAAATTGGTAATCCCTGCAATCCCTTTCAATCCAATAAACTGATTGTCAAGGTGTTTGTTTTATATATTATATTGCTGTCATTTTAATTTCTACAACACATATAGTTAATTTTGTATAAAATATTGAAGAAAATGTAGGTCTAACGATTTAAAGGCATTGTAAAAGTCAAATTTCAATGTTCATTCAAGAATATATATATACATATACTTACCAATTTCTATGCCTGTTCTACAACATACGTAACTCAAATATGATCGTTGTATCAAATACATATACCACTATATATGTATCACAAATATTTGGTATATAAGTATATGTTAATATAATTTTGAAAGCCGTTTCCGTACAGGTTCTTAAAAAGGTTGGAGTGGCCATTTCATCTTTTCACATTTTATCTTGTTTCATATTGTCAATAAATGCACTCGGTACCTGCATGGCGTGACAGTAACTATTACTAATTTTAACTTTCCCAGGGTCTTTATAATGTGCGCATGTGCGGTCTTATTGCATTTGCCCTTATGCGAACAAAGTGGTTGTGTTGCAGACTGGTTGGTTCACTATTGTGGTTCACTATTGTGAAACTTGAAATCCAAGATGGCTATTAAAACTGTTGGCATCGTTGGAGCTGGTGCTAGTGGATTAGTGTCAATTAAAAGCTGTTTGGAGGAAGATTTGCAGCCCATATGTTTTGAAAGGTCTTCAGGGGTTGGTGAGTCTGATCTGCTCATTTGATTTTAATGCATTCATTTATGCACACACATTTATGTTACAGGGGTTACAAACTGAACTTTCGATTTAACACCGAGAGGGCCGCACCCAAACTTTGATGTTTCCAGTGCACTTCCAAAAAAACTTCATGCACTGCTTTTGTTTCAGTGTTGGGCCGTAAAAAACGGATGATGGTATTCAAATTAAAGGGACACATTTTTAAAATTATTTAATTACTGAGAATTAATGTGTCCTTTTTCATAATGCATTTTATGTTATATGATAGGCCTATACAATGCAAACAAATTAAAAATATGATAAAATATATTTATGGCGGATGATGCTTTCCAGACATAACTTGTTTTTTTAATAAATTCTCATTGCCACATTGCAAGATACAAGATCTCTTTATTGGCAATACAGAAAAACAGGAACCTGTGTGACTCCTCGGACACGCCGCGATAAGAGTAATACAAACTAAACTTGCTATGAGAACTTCATATTGAAATTAGAAAATAAAAACAAAATCAAAATGAAAAATCACTCAACTGTGGAAGACTCGAATCAAAGCTGCTATGGTTTTGGTTAAGATTATGTGCAATTATGGATTTACAACCCGACACCTCCAGCTCGTCAACATTGCGTAATTTCACAGGTTGAGGGTGAAAATTGTTCATGCATTGCACGGTAACTTTGCGTTTACCTAACTGTAGCTAGTTTGAAACGCTTTAGACAACGCAAATTGCTTTATAATAAAGTTTAATTACCCATTTATTAATATTCAAAATATGTAGATCGACGTCATATTTTAATTTGCACATCTTTAATATATGGTCTTTGCTTGGACAACGTTTAAAGAAGATCCAATCACCACAGTATGGGACGGCCAAACACTGTGTATAAACATAGGAAAACGGGATGGAAGATGAAAAAAAAAATCAGAACAAAAATAGCTTTTTCTTTATTTATGATTTCATTCTTTACTAAAAACTTGTAAAATTTCAAGAAAGTATGTAACAAAAAGCCCAGGTCATTGTATGAGAAAACAAAAAAAAGTTTCCCAGGAAGCATTGTATCGTGCATTCCATAGTAACTAGACTGGTAACTTTTTATTGGGTGGGTTCTTGTTCTGGTGGGTAAAGCCAACCGCCAAATTGCGAAATTGTACAACCTTGGTTCTTGATTAAGTTGTTTGTTCGGGCCAAATTATTTTAGAGTTGATCTAATAAAGATAATCTCATCCGATTTGAAAGCAATCGTTATACATGGGTAAAATTCTTTCCGCTAAGATAGGTCTATTTGAATGCTTTTTTTTTTTTTTTTGAATGCTATTTTTTTTTTTTTTTTTTTTTTTGGCAATTTGAAATTATTGAGGCCTAATTATATTGTACTTGGCCTACACCAGCGGTCATGAGCCTACATTGGGTCGCGGGAAATTTCTGTGTGGACGTGTCATCAGTTTAACTGTCGTCAGTCAAAATACAAAAGGTTACCGCATGTACCCAGTGCCATTGTGTAGGACTAGCAAAATGTATTTTTATGAGCACTGTGAATGAGGGGGTATCACACCGTAACCCCACCATGGGATTTTCCGGAACAATCTGCTGTTTTCTAGCAATCGTTACATTTACACACTCTTCCGCATACCAGTATGACAATTAAAAAGGTGGAGCTATTAAATGGGTCTCTAACCCCACCAAGGGGTTTTCAGGAACAACCTGTCGTTTTCGAGTAAATGTTCTCTACATTTACACCACTCCCGCCTACTAGTATGAAATTGAGTGAAAATGTTAAAAGAGTGGCTAGTAAAACGGGACCACCGGCCCCACCGAATGCAGGGGGATCTAGAGGTTTTCTGACCGGGGAGGGGGCACAATAAAACCTAATTGAACCACGATAACTAAAAAAGTGTGTTCGTCGTCAATCAATAGAAAAATCAGAATAAGTGGTAACATCACGAGCTCTCCTTTCTGCTGGATCAGCCACTGAATTAGTGGGTGTTAGAAATCCAACCAAAAGCAAATGCAGCTTACTAAGTAAATGTTGTAAGCCCTATCTGAGGTCTAGCTTTATGTTTGTTAAACTTTTTTTTACAGTATAGGCCTATTCTTTAATTTTTAGGGGGATTGTGGTACACCGAATCAGCGAAGAAAAAAGATGGTTTCAATTATTCATTCAATTCTCTTACTACCAACACGAGTAAGGAGATGATGAGTTTGAGTGACTTTCCATACCCTGAGGAATATCCACTTTTTCCAACTCCAAGACAAATAGAAGCGTACTACCAGAAGTACGCTGATCACTTCGGTTTGATGAAATACGTGCGCTTGAACCAAAATGTAATAAATATTGTGAGTATTGGATCTGGAAGGTGGAAAATTAAGTCCGAAAACATCGACAATCCCGATGATGTCAGCGAAACCGAGGTAGACGCGCTAATAGTTTGTTCGGGTCTTCAATCGGTCCCCTACATGCCGGATATTCCGGGGGCAGAAGAGTTCACTGGAGAGCTTATACATTCACAGTACTTCAGAAGAGGCTCGGACTATGCAGGAAAAACTGTTGTAGTTCTTGGTAAGATGAAAATAACTATCCCAATAATTCTGTCACTTTTTACTGTTTTGGCTTTCGTTCTTCGAAACATTAGGCCCTAATCCATATATCCAACATTAACTTCTATAATAATGTTATATATAATAAACCGATATTTTTCCAATACCTGGTAGATTAAGTTACAGTATTAACATGTACTGTCTTGTCTAGCAAATAGTTTTATCTTTGCTAGTCTGTTATTAGCCTCCCCAAAAGAGCGAAACTGTATTGAGGCTATTGTTTTAACCTGTGTTCTGTCGTCGTTGTTGGTCACTTGTTTGTTACCACGGTAACTAAAGTTTGGTAAGTCCGAGCGATTTTAAACTTGGCAGAATGCAAGATGGTAATAAGAAGACGGAGCCTATTGTATTTGGTACGTGTGTGAATATATTAATTGCTCATTTGCATAATTGATGTTTCACTAATCAGGTAAATTTAGGTTAGTTTTCTCGATAACTAAAGTTTGGTTCAGTCCAAGTGGTTTAAACTTGGCAGAATGCAACGTTGTAATAAGTTGTAGCCTATCGTTTTTGGTAACTGTGCAAATATGCTAATAGCTCATTTGCATAATTCATATTTCACTAATTAGGTAATGTAGGCTAGTTAAAACCACGAAAACTTAAAGTGTGTTAAGTCCAATTGGTTTCAAACCTTTGGAACAATGCAAGATGGCAATAAGAAGAAGAGCTATTGTTTTTCGTACGTGTGTGAATATGCTAATTGCTTATTGCATAATTAATATTTCACTCAGGAAATTTATGTTGAACACCATCCTAATTTCCATAAAATATTCTAATTTATTTGAAATTGTTGTGTCGTGTTGTTGTTGTTGCTGTAGCTGTTGTCGTATAGTAAATTTTTTGCTACCACGACGATAAATAAAGTATGGTAAGTCGGATTGGTTTCAAACTCCTACTTATAAATTTTCAGAGAAAATTCACATCAGAGGAACGTTCCTAGTTATACATATATTATGTTGATTGGGAATCATTGATAACATTACAGTTGATGAAAAAGCTCTCCTTTAATACGAAATATAAAATACTTCATTTAACATAGTGAACCAGGACTAAATACTCCATTATGTACACCACCTCTTTGCTCTGAGAGTCTCACTAAGCTGTCGCTTGTTTATTCTAAACAAAGTGCTTGGTCCTGATCGAATCCTAGCAGAAACATTATACTACAGTCTCCCCGTCACAGAAATTCAAGCAGAAAACAAGTTCTGCGTAAATTGTACAGAATGCGAGACCCTAAAATCTATTAAATAGAGAACTTTCAAGCCCCAATATTGTAGAAGTTTTACACCCTTTTTGACTGCCCTGATGCTACTAATGCTGCCGTCACGGAAATCGGACACATTAAAATAAAAATTATTTAGGCCTAATACACCTTCTACTATGTTAACTTTAAAATCCCAAATTCGTTAAACATTTAGTTGTTTTTCCTCAACTGAGAATAGAAAATTGTTTTTCTTTTCTTTAGGGGCTGCATTCTCTGGAGGAGATATTTCTGTTGATTGTAGTCGTTATGCGAAAATGGTATACTGCTATTTGTGTTTATATCCACATGTTTATGCTTCTCTTGTCCATGCGTTGAAACTTAAACAGTAAAATACATTTTTTGGGACCAATTCTATAGATATTATTGTTAAAAATAAAATAAAAACAAAATAATGGCCAAATACCTTACTTGATGTATCCGCGGTAGATCCATTAATTTACTTCAGTTAAAGTATTCATTCCTTCATTAAATAATTGGTCATTTAGATATTCATTCTTTGATTCGTTTCATCAATTTATCCATAATCATCCATTTGTCCATCCATTCATTCATTCATTCATTCATTCATTCATTCATTCATTCATTCAATCATTCATTCATCAATTCATTCATTTTTTTATTCATTTGGTCTTTCATTTTATTCGTTTAATCGGTGTGTTTATGAGTTCATTTATTTTGTCTTACTCGTATTCATATGCATTCAGCCAGTCATGTTATATATATTATTCACATTTTATTCAATCATTTATTCAATCATTAATTTATGCATTCATTCATTTGCCCTTCCGTCCACCCAATCACTGTTACTTACTC